ATATATATATATATATATATATATATATATAAAGGGTGTAAGTGTGCTATTAATTGTGTCATACAAAACGGAGACAAAGCATAATACCAAGTGAATTAATTAGTTGGTAGTAAGAGTGGTACTACAACAAGGAGTGAAAGTATGGTAGCGATGACTATGGGATTGGGGGTACTTAATATTCAAGAGCAAGGTTGGAAGAAAGGCCCTTGGACTCCTGAAGAAGATAAGCTTCTCTCTGAGTATGTCAACTTGCATGGTGAAGGAAGATGGAGTTCTGTGGCTAGATGTGCAGGTAATTAATCATGAGTTAATTAATGTGTTAAATTAAGTATAATTATTGTAGAAGTACTATATATAATTATATAATGAGTGTTTATTAACTCTAAACTTCTATATGCACTCACTCAAATTCTTATTCTTTATTTGTCAACGTAGTTAGGATTTTCTGATGATAAATCTTGATACTAGTTATTTTCTCTCGTCAGTTTATCAGAGGAAAAAATAACAACAAATATGACTATTTTCTTTCCTTTCATGTTTTTGTCATTCATCAGTTCGTTATTCTCTAATTCTTTGCTTAATTATTTGGAATTTGTTAGGATTGAATAGGAGTGGTAAAAGCTGCAGACTAAGGTGGGTGAATTATCTTAGGCCTGGCCTTAAGAGAGGCCAAATCACACCACAAGAAGAAGGCATCATTATCGAACTGCATGCTCTTTGGGGTAACAAGTACGTAATTATATATAAGCAATGCGTTAACATTACTTATAATTCTCTCAAATTTTCTCTCTCCAACGACTTTAGTTTCTCTCTCCTTGCTTTTCCTCACTAATTTTCTCATGCATGTCTTGATTAATTTGTTTTTAAATATATATTTCTTTGTGTAACTATACAGATGGTCAACCATTGCAAGATACCTGCCGGGGAGAACCGATAACGAAATAAAAAACTTCTGGAGAACCCACTTCAAGAAGAAAGAGAAATCCTCTCTGAAGCAACAAAAGAGAAGATCTCAGATTCTGAAAGACAAGTTCCAAAAGGATCAGCTTCAAGCGCAGCAAGAAAACACCCATCACACCAAAACTACAACAGCCAGCGAAGAAAAACTGAATATTCACGATCATCATCATCAGTCGCAAGATCAAACTACTACTACTCATGAGCATCATGACATGGCTTTCTCCGTTAACGGCTCTGATCATCAGTGCTTACCTGTGATGTACCAAGACCTAGTTTCATGTTCGTGGTACGACGCCACACCGGATCAGGAATACGTGTTATGGGGTGGCCTCTGGAACCTAGATGATCCCCATTCATGAGCAAATTAGCCCCGTCTCAGAATAATAATAATAATAACTAAGCTACAGGTGTTAATTATCATGGAGGACTAGGGGATAATTATTATTATTCAAACAAGAATAACAATATTAATATTAATATCGTCCCCATTCAAAACCAAGCTAGAGCTTTCTCTTCTTGTGAAGGCTACATCTTCTAGGGAGGTTGCTAGGGTTTAACTAGGCCAGCTAGCTGATTAATCAGTTGGCGTTGTGGAATGTATAATGATGGAGTTATGAATGTATAATATAGCTATACCTAGCTGGCCAGCGAGTATATATGTGCATGTTTGTTTGGTGAGCATATATATATATATATAT